CATGTTGTTTACTGATGACCACGATGGTCTTTGGGCACCATACCAGTTTACTTGTACAAGTATGGTGAATAAAACAGGTAGATATTTATATATAATGTGTGTATATAGCATAATAGCACCACAGTATTGTTGTAGGAGAAATATTAGTGCGTCTGGCCTTGAGGGCGGCAGCCATCAGTTGACTGTGTGAGGTCCTACGTCTTTGTGCCTTTACTCACCATACAAGCTTAGATGTACAGTTATGGTGAACAAAACATGCAGATACTTATATATAACCTGTGTATGTAGTGCAATAACCGACAAAGTATTTGTTCACTGTTTGATGAACATAATTGAATCAACAATATGCACACCATATTTTTGAGTACAGTGATGATTCACTCATTTTATTATATAAATATATCACACTACACACTATTGAATAATATTACAGCAAAAAAACTATGAAAAATCAATCAGAGACATTGAAATAATTAGGTAATTATCTCTTTGTGGCAACTCCGGACTGACAGCTGGCGATCAACAGACCGCCTGGGACGAATGCTGAGTCAGCACCTATTTTTTGCCAGAATTCCTCGCCCTATAGCGGGCAATATATGCCACTTAGGATTTTTTTATTATTTTTCACGTGATCAGCGAACACAAATTAACAGGTTAGGAAGAAAAAATAATTAATTTTTTTTTTTTTTTTTTTTTTTGGTATGCGTCTGTGGGTGTCAAATGGTATATAGCTATGCGCCATTTAAGGGTTAATCAAGAAGGGACATCCTCTACTGCCTCTACTCACAGCTATTTTCTTAGGTTGAACCTTATCAATGGCTTTCTTGAGACCCATGGCGAGATATATAATAACTTTTATGCTCAAATGGCCAAAAAACAGACATAAAACTGTAAATCCTTGTGAAGAATTCAGGAGGGATAGTCACTGGGCGGGAGACAATGGTAAACTGAGGGGCGGAGGGGCGACGATCGCTGTACCACCATGCGCTAGGTCGGCCTGAACTCTTATCAACAAACTCGCGTTCCAAGGTAACCCTCGCCTTCTGAGACACATTTTCCGAGGAAATCCAGCTCGTATTCCGAAAAACTCGCATACAGGGACACTCGTGTTTCGAGGTACCACTGTATCTACATGTTTTATTCACCATACCAGTACAAATAAGCTGGTATGGTGCCCAAAGACCATAGTGGTCACCAGTAAACATGACATGTCATGCAGATGACACACCTCCCTCACCTAAATGGCAGCTCCCAACACACTCCTATTGCTGTTATTAAACTCTATACACACGTTATAAATAAGTATCTACGTGTTTTATTCACCATAGTGAACCACTAAGCTGGTATGGTAAGTCCAGTCAATAAAAGGTGGCCACACACAGTCGGAAGATGACGCCACCACCCTCCCTCCCTCAGCATTACTCCTCCCTCCATGGAGCACAGCTCCTAAATATCACCACAATCCTGCTATTATCAGAATCCTGGTCAGTTTTATCAAAGTCAATGGTCTTCTGTAATACTATCATCGCTAAATAATAGCATGTACATACAGTATATATTTTCTCAGTTTTAGACAATGATGTGGTCACTAGCTGAACAGCAGTGCTGTGAGTGCATGCTGTGAGCCTTGGTGGCTCGCTCAGTACTGAGGCTCTCATACCCAGGAATGTTGGCCAAGAGTTTTTTTTCTAGGTGGCGTCTGTCAACTATCGGTCGTGGCTGCACTATCAACCTGTCCTCTTAAAAAATAACGTCGCTTTTGGCCGTTTACCAGTATGGCCGAAATTGGCCGTAATTTGAAAATGAAAAAAAATTGAAAATAAATTTGTTTTTGTTTTTTTCAACAACAGTAAGTTAAGGGTCCTCTGATAGGTTTGGTGGGCAGGAAATTCTCAAAGTTTCAAAATGGTATGAAAAACGTGAATTGAAAGTTTCTTCTCCTAGCGTGTCCGAGTAGGCCGGACGACTCAAGCAGAAAACGGAACAGTACGTCACTTTTGCGAGTCGATTTCATTCCAAATTACGTCCAAATTTGGCCATAGCGCGCATACGAGCAAAAAGTGACATTTTTAAGAGGACGGGTTGGCACTATAGCTGCCCATATTCCACACTGAGCATTTAAATTAAAGCGCAAAACACTAAAACAGCAATTAATGTATTGTGCAGTATCAGTAATGTTACTCACATCATCTATAATGTATTGTGCAGTCTAAGGGTTAAAACTTCAATTTCTGACCGATTCTCACCATTTTACATATTTTGTGCAAAGTTCTTAGTTCTAAGGTTTCCTCTGAATCGTTTAGTCATAAAGCCATAACGTTTGGAGTTATAAATATTTTGCTTGTAAATTTGGCACACATTTGGATGGCCAGATTCAAAAAATGTTGTACAGTAACCTATACAGTACTGTACTCTTATACAATAATTTAATCAGAGGAGAATGAACATTACATGCCATTCTGAGACCATAATGAATAAAATAACAATTGGTGACATAAGATATTTACATCAATTTGAAATTGTGATTTTTTTTTCTTTTCATGGTATGATGTTGATCTGTTATTAAATGTTGGAGCATTTACCATCAAGATTATTCACAAAAGAAATTTAGTGTGTTTGAGGAAGTTTTGGTGCACATGCACCAGGCCCCCTTAAGTGACTTCACAAGAATCTACCACTTAACAGGGTTCTTGCCCCTGACTATGGGAAACTATAAGGTAAATCACTATCTTTCATTTAGAAATGGACATTGCCCCATTAAGCATATCCAAATAATACTTTGCTCCCATCCTTGAAGAGACCATTATCCAAATAATTCTTCCTTTACTCCCACAATTGCTGCACCTTGCACAATGCTGTGTCATAGATTATTGGAAACTGACTCACCTTTAATTAAGAAGGTAAATAAATTACCTTCTCCAAGATGGGTCAGTTTCCAATAATGCATGAAACAATCACGTAAGCAATGAAAATGGCTTTGAGGGCACAGTCTCAAATTGGATAAGCAGGATTACAATGAACCATGTATGGACATCTTATACCCAAAGGCATCTCATACCCAATAGGATATAAAGCTTTCAAAATCTGTTTGCAGCTTATTATTGCATGCACTTGTGAAGCAAGAACAGCCTATATAGATATTGACCATCTCGCACATGGCATGACCAGTCTCCATCTAAACTGACTGTCATCTGGTTAATGTTTTTATTACAAAACTAATGTTTGCCTTATACCCGAAATGCTGTGTGTGTGTATTAGTGGCTTTAGGCATAGTATATACTTACTCTACCTAGAAATCTGACATTCTACTTGTAACTCATTTTGTATGTATCTACTTTTACCTAACATTATTATTATTAATGTATAAATTTATTTAACAAGCTGCCATTGCTCTAGAAATAAAAACAAATAACCAGGCACAGTTACTATAGTGTATTTTATCTTATTTTAGTTCTGAAATCTACCTTGTTTCTCACTTCTGTTCGGTGTAAATACACAAACAGATGGAGCACCAATGATGTATGGTACTGCATTTTGAAAATATAAAAGAATTTTTATACATAAAATGCATATTTTTCTGACGATTTGTTAAAATTGACATGAATTATACTATTTTTGTTATTGACATGAATTATGCTAAATATGGGTTCTATTATTAGAACCCATACTTACCTTAAACAGAATATGGATAAAACTATTCCACAACTAGGATACAGGCCCATGGAATGAGAAGTTCAGTCTGGTGGTTCATACACAAAAGGCATATGGCATTATTTAGATGCCATATAGATTAGACACAAGCCTGTAATCACTGCAGTGCTCCAAAAGTCTTTATCCAACATAGACTTATGAAGCCTGTATGCTGGATACAGGCTCAAGTATGCTAGATACAGGCTCAGAAATGCTGGATACAGGCTCAGAAATGCTGGATACAGGCTCAGAAATGCTGGATACAGGCTCAGAAATGCTGGATACAGGCTCAGGTATGTTGGATACAGGCTCAGGTATACTGGATACAGGCTCAGGTATACTGGATACAGGTGCAGGTATACTGGATACAGGCTTAGGTATACTGAATACAGGCTCAGGTATACTGGATACAGGCTCAGGTATACTGGATACAGGCTCAGGTATACTGGATACAGGCTCAGGTATACTGGATACAGGCTCAGGTATACTGGATACAGGCTCAGGTATACTGGATACAGGCTCAGGTATACTGGATACAGGCTCAGGTATACTGGATACAGGCTCAGGTATACTGGATAAAGGCTCAGGTATATTGGATACAGGCTCAGGTATACTGGATACAGGCTCAGGTATACTGGATACAGGCTCAGGTATACTGGATACAGGCTCAGGTATACTGGATACAGGCTCAGGTATATTGGATACAGGCTCAGGTATATTGGATACAGGCTCAGGTATACTGGATACAGGATATTAGGTATTAAATAACCCACGACAATATTACATTTTTTCTAATGTGTTCCACATTGGACCACATTGGCCTCGTCGAGGCCACTAGAGAGAGCGGCCATCAGGTAAATTCAAGTAAATATATTCTTATTGCAAAAACTATCCAGCATTTTGGTAATTCACAGAAATGCATCTTCATCTCCAGATATTGAACTTAATTCAAGTAATAGTGACAAACTTAAACTAAAATATAACCCAAAAATCTTTGTTCTCTTTGAAATGTAAAGGGTTACAGAAGTACATATGGGCTCAGGGACTGAACCCCCAAAAACAATTAGCTAAGGAAAATGATTTTTGGAGTTCAGTCCCTGAGCCCATTATGTGCCTCTGTAACCCTTTCCACTACCGCCCACAAGATGGGGATGGGGTGCATAATAAATGAACTAACCTAAAACTAAAACCAAGTGAGGCTTCCACATTCCCATATTGCCTGTATATTCTGGTAAGGCGCAGAGAGTATCAGCTGCCAGGAATATCCTCAGTCACACCAAGTGAAGACTACAGCAAGAAGCAAGACCTACCATAAGTAAAGTTAGAGCAGGAGAGGTGTCAGAGCGAGGGTGCTGAGGACGGCCTCTCACCACCACGAGTGTACACAGGTACTGACACCAGCCACCGCCTCCCAGCGACCGTCACCAGGTATACCGATACACGTGTTTCTGAAACAAGACGGAAGCCACCGCCTCCCAGCGACCGTTACCCTGTATTCACTTAGTTGTATTCACCTAGTTGTGCTTGCGGGGGTTGAGCTCTGCTCTTTCGGCCCGCCTCTCAACTATCAATCAACTGTTACTAACTACTATTTTTTTTTCACCCCCACCCCCCCAGGAAGTAGCCCGTAAACCCTGTCTAACTCCCAGGTACCTATTTACTGCTAGATTCAGATTCAGATTCAGATGTTTATTCAGGAAAGGTATATACATACAAGTGATGTTACATTAATGGATTGATATATAGATAGAGCTAGTACATACAATGCCTAAAGCCACTATTACGCAATGCGTTTCGGGCAAGAAAAACATTAATATCTAGAACTTAATACTAATTGAGCATAAAGAATAAAAGATGTTGAGAACAAATACAAATAAAGATAAAAAAAAAGGGGGAACATGACTGAAAAAGCAGCACAAATACAATAGGTTGACAAACAGTGTTGATTAAAAAAAAGAAAAAAAAAGAAAATAACAGACATGGGTTGACAATAGAGGAGTGAGGTAGATTACAGGGAATTTATTAGGTAGTGTTTAGTTTTTATCTTAAACTGGTTGAGAGAGGTACAGTCTTTAACATGGTTGGGAAGGTCATTCCACATTCTGGGCCCCTTGATTTGCAGAGCATTTCTAGTTTGATTAAGACGTACTCTAGGAATATCAAAACTGTATTTATTTCTGGTGTGGTGCTCATGGGTTCTGTTACAACCTTCTATGAAGCTTTTAAGATCAGGATTGGCATTATAGTTTAGCGTTTTATATATGTATAATACACATGAGAGAATGTGCAGTGACTTAATATCTAACAGAGGTAACAGAGGTAGGTAACAGAGGCATCAGGGTGAAAGACACTCTGCCCATTGTTTCTCCCCGGCGCCGGGAATCAAATCCCGGACCACATGATTACGTATCCAGCGTGCTGGCCACTCAGCCACCGACCTCCTTTCCATAAACTTTAGCATATCTAGTTCCATACGCACTACACAAATTTACCAGAGGACTACCTCGGGTAAAGGAATACCTCGGATATCTAGTGACCACGACGGGGACAGGAAGCCGGAGGTTTGTCAAAGGTCTCCCATTTTTTTTAATTTTCTCCAACTGAGTTTATAACTGATTAGATCGAATAATGACGATCCCCAAATGGATACCTATAGATCTAAAGAACCTTATGTACAAACGAAAGCTTGCAAAAGGTACAAAAAGATTAAGAACGGGGAAGTTAGTCTAGAACACTTTTTTAAATATGTAGTTTTTATAAAAAAATTATACCCCTATAGGAATAGGGTAGCATTTATAAGAATGCTAACCTATTCTATATGAAAGATTACAGTGTAGATCAAAAACTAGCTATAAGTTCGCCTAATATTCCCATCTCACGGGATGGTTCGTCATGTATAGAGTCAGGGGAGAAAATACCAGCCTCAATACAAAAACAAATCAACTCTGACTATGGTACAAGAATTCAACCAACTACGAGCCACTTATTTTGATGAAAGGGGAGCAGTAGAACAACAGAAGTACACTTACACTGCATCAGGCGTGGATACCCCATGTTAGTTAGTTTAGTTATTTATTATGCACCCCATACCCATCTTGTGGGTGGTAGTGGAAAGGGTTACAGAGGCACATAATGGGCTCAGGGACTGAACCCCACAATTCATTTAGCTTAGCAAGTTACAATCTTGATGAGCTAGTTACAAAATTCAGTATAAGTCGTCACATCATAAATGGGTTCGAGATCGACCACAAGTACAGTTTCTAAAATATGCAACTAACATATGTGGAGAGCTAGTGTCACAATTGATATGTTTGTCTTGCACACCGCCCCCCCATCCAGTGGGCAGCAGTGGATAGGTTACAGTCACTTTAGCTCCTGCCATTGCATTGCTCTTCAACAAGTCACTTGAACTCCAAACCTTTCCAGATATTTAAAAAAAAAAAAAGCGAGAGTAACCCCGGTCCATAAATGTGGTGATCCCACTGATGTCAACAACTTCAGACCTATATCAATTCTGCCAAACTTGTAAAAAATATTTGACAAACTAATCTACAAGCAGCTTTACTCTTATCTAGCCAAACACAATATACTTAGCTCTTGCCAATATGGCTTCAGACCCCAAAAAAGCACTAACGATGCACTTATTAGTATGATTAACTTGATATATGCAGCTCTTGATAAAAATTAGTTCCCCGTCGGGTTATTTGTGCACCTACGTAAGGCTTTTGACACTGTCAACCACCAAAACCTTCTTCTTAAATTACATAATTATGGAGTCAGAGGTCACTCCCTGCAATACCTTAAGTCTTACCTTACTGACTGGCTCCAGTATGTTTCTGTGAATAATTCAATTTCTCCCACCCTACCCATTAACATTGGTGTTCCTCAGGGCAGCATATTTGACCCTCTCCTCTTTCTCATCTACATTAATGACCTTCCATATGCCTCCCAACACCTCAAACCAATTCTATTTGCTGACGACACAACTTTCATTTACTCCAGACCTGACCTCCTTGCTCTAAATGTCACAGTGAATACTGGCCTAAATAAAGTCCATCTTTGGCTAACTGCCAACAAACTCACCCTTAACATTGACAAAACTTTCTATATTTTGTTTGGCAATAAATCCTCAAATCAAATAAATCTCAGGATAAACCATACCCAAATTTGTAACAAAAAAGATGGCAAATTCCTTGGCGTTCTCATTCACCACAAGCTGAATTTCCAGGGACACATTCTAAATATATCAAAAAAGTTTCAAAAACTGTTGGCATTCTTTCTAAGATCAGATACTATGTACCTCGTCCTGCCCTGGTGACACTCTATTATTCTCTCATCTATTCTTATCTCAGCTATGGTATTTGTGCTTGGGGTTCTACTACCCAAAATCATTTACGTCCTCTAATTACTCAACACAAAGTTGCTATTAGGACAATATCTAACTCTGGCCCCAGACATCACTCGGTACTCTTACTCAAATCTCTGAGTATGTTAGATATTAAGTCACTGCACATCCTCTCATGTGCACTCTATATATTTAAAACTGAATTGTAATGTCAATCCTAACCTTAAAAGCTTCCTAGAAGGTTGTAACAGATCCTATGAGCACCACACCAGAAACAAATACCTATTTGATATTCCAAGAGTACGACTTAATCAAACTAGAAATGCTTTACAAATCAAGGGACCCAGAATGTGGAATGACCTTCCCAATCATGTTTAAAACTGTACCTCTCCCAACCAGTTTAAAGTAAAAACTAAATACTACCTAATTAACTCCATGTAACCTACCTCACCCCCAAAATGTCAACCCATGTCTACTATTTTAAACAATGCTGTTTGAACACTCTTAACTCTGTATTAGACTCATGTCAGGACCTAGGTTTAATTATCTCAGCAGAGAAAACAAAGATACTAAATCGGCGCCCACCCAGGCAGGGAAGAGCTGTTCGCAAGATGCAACTGTCTGATGGCTCCCAGCTTGACTATGTAAACAGATTCAAATACCTTGGCCTTGAGGTGCCACTGTATGGTCCTGTTGTATTCAGACTCTGTCGTCAGTATAAAGAGAGGCTCCGAGCTCTCAAGGCTGTTGCAGGTTATCACTCAGGCTTTGGTGCCAATGTCAGAATTGTCAAAATGATGTACCTTGCATACATCAGATCTTTAGTGGATTATGCTGCACCTCTGCTTGTTTTGATGCCTGAAAGAAAGCTTGGAGGGCTTGAAAAACTGCAGAACGAAGCCTTGAGGATAATCTTTGGGTGCCCTTGTACCACAAAGATACTTAATATGAGAAAGGAACTTAATATTCTGAGCGTTGTTGATCGTGTTACTGAAATTAACTGTCAAATTGGTATAAAAATGCTTAGGCTAACTCATCCTAATCCTTGCACAGAAGCCCTCCAGAATTTCTTTATTGAAGATCAGCATTGTTCCAAATGGATAACAAAAACTGGAACTCAATTCAGAATGTATCAGGTTCATGATTTGTACCAAGAGAAACAACAACGGAACTTTCCTGCACCGTGGGAGGTTACACCCTTTCCAGTTTTAATCCCTCCCTTTCCACCCAAGAAGCAAATTAGAGATCAGCCCAAGCTTCGTCTTGAGGCAAAGCTCAACGCCTTAAACCATATTGATGCTCTGTCCACAGAGCATTCTCTCTCTCAAATCATGTACACTGATGGTTCCCTACACCGCACCACGGGTGCAGCTGGAAGTGCAGTTGTTCTGACAATGGGCGATGGCTTGTACTTTGAGTGGGGAGTCCGTATAAACAATTGGGCCTCTACCCTTCAGATTGAACTATTTGCCTTGATCCTTGTACTGAAATGTGTACAAGTCTCCAAACTTGATACATTAATTGTAAGTGACTCCTTATCATCCTTAAATGCTCTCAACTCTTTAAGACATAACTGTAACATGCTCGTGTCCGAAGCTAGACACAAATACAAAAAAATTATTAAGGATGGTAACAGAGTCCATTTCATGTGGTCTCCATCTCATGTTGGCCTCCGAATGCATGATAGAGCTGATAAGTTAGCCAAAGAATCTGCCTTTAAAGGAGCCGTTGAGTGTAACCTTGGATTGTCAATGAGCAATCTGAGAGCAGCAGTACACCGAGAACTTCAACAAGATCTTGTAGATCTGAGGCAAAGTGAAATTGACACCAGTAATTCATCTATCATCATACTATCATGCAAGAGGAGCCACACATCTATGGATCATCCAATAAAATCAGCAGACTTCTAGATGTTACTACTGCTCGGCTTAGACTCGGTTACAAGTATCTCTGGGAATTCTCATTATCTGCTGATGTAGACCTGACCAAATGTAAACTGTGTCAACAAAATTATTCGCACACCCTCCGTCACTATGTGATGGAGTGCGAAAAGATACGTGAATTTAGAGACAATTCTATAACCAATGTTCCAGCGATGTGTCAAT